GGGGCCTGAGATTTATCTATTACAGGTTAGAGTATAGTATCCAAATACAATTTAATTCATGGTCTAGATAAATATATTTCACTATGAGTATACGGAGTATAGTTTGCTACAGGAGCACACAGAGTTTTCATCTATCAATCTATTTACTTGCTTCTGTGGAGATATCATTTTCATTCGTAAAATATATCAAGAATGATTTTCAAAGATGAACGATGACATATAGTGCACATATACATGCCTTGTAGAAATGCTTTCATAATATTTCCGAATCTTTAGCATTGTGTTCAATTCTTTATTTCATTTAGCTGAATTTTCTATTATGTAGTTGAATTTTTTTTATTATAAACTTATAGTTGATTTGTTGTGTTACCAACCTTGATCAATTTTCTAGCTCCGCCGAAATAGAGTGGAGATTCCACTCGAAAAGTCAAAAGAATGCCGCCCAGTACTACGACAATAGCAAACAGTAGGATTGCGCTGACAAATCCCATTGGCCAGAGGAGGTGGTTCGGTGACCGACTCCCGGTAATACGTATCGTGTCGTGTCGTGTCCTTCCCATTTGTCCACTCTTGATGTATATATTATATTCTAGTGTGCTGGACCAATAAGGCTGCATCCAAAATCCAAATTCCATCAATACCTCGCTATCAGGCCACCGGCTTATGTCGTGTCGTGATTCATGACGGGTCCTCTAGACCTCTATAAATTGGTGTTGGTTAATACATCTAGCATAAAAGACTTTATTTTGTGCTAAATGAGATCACTTCAAAGCACTCTTTTTCATGGTAGGTCTGGTATAAATGTTATTTTGCTATTTGAGTAGTTTCTCAAAATGAAACACCATCAATATATAAAGCTGAAATAAGTTTACTATTCCCCAAATAATTGCATTTTGATACCACAAATTTAATTAAATTACAACTTAGTCATTATAATGTATATTTTGCATTTCGATACCCTAAATTTAATTTTAATGTAAATAATGTTTAGATTTCATTTGAATCCATGAATTCAATCCACCAATCCATGAATCTAATCCATAATAATATAAAAGTATAAATTTACACCTCTGTTTGGGAATGAAGTAAATGAGAGGGGGGCGTAAAATGCAGGGGTAAATCCCTTTCCCTAGAACTTTGCACCCATTTGGCAAGGTTTTGAATAGTAGGGGGTGCACAGATTGTGATGCAAATCTACTATTTGCCCAAGCCCTCCAAATTTGGGTGCAAGGGGAGAGAGAAAGATGGAAAGGAAATAGGGAAAAAGAGAGAAGGAGAGAGACGCATGTGAAGGGACTTGAGGGAGAAAAAAAATGATTTTATTTTTAATTTTAAAATTACTTTTTAGTGTTTTAATTTTAAAATTATTTTTTAGTTTTTTAATATAATAATATTATTAAAATCTAAACCCACTTCTACTTTGCACCCTCCTACTTTTTCTCCTAAACGATCTTTTGCACCCCAATTTGCACCTTCTTTAAATTTGCTCCCCCATATGATTTACACCTCAATTTGCACCCTCCTCAAATTTGCACCCCTCTCGTTGCCAAACGGAGTGTTAGTTTGTACCATGCAAGATGTTGTATCACTCAACTGTAAGAGAAGATTCGACCATTTTGGTTTTTCATGAGATTTTCTAATCACAAGTATGAACGGGTTCATACATAACTCACCAACAATCAAGAGAATTTATAATTGAACCATGAACCACTAACTTTTTCAACTCAATGTCGAGTCCAATTAAAAATAAAGATATATGGTTATTACTTATTAGAAATTCATCATTTTCTACTATGAAATTTGAATGCGTGAAATTTTAAGCGAGTTCCAGTTTGTATTTCTTTTGCTTCTCTTTAGAGTTTTTCTTTCTCACCTGGGCTAGAATTTTGAACAATTATACATGGAATGTTTGGCTAGGTATCTACACATTTCAAATAAATAGTTTCCATTTTCTATAAAAAAGTAAATATTTATCATCTTAAATACATAATCATAAAAGGAATTAAACCTCAACTACGCAAATTACAATTCGATATCTAAACTCAATAGATATTTAGATTAATAACTTAAATTTATTTTTTAGGCATATAAGTCCTCAAAAAATTGATGAAACATTACATTTTAGTACCTACTATTATGTATATAATTATTTTATACGATGATATAATATTATACATCACTACAAAAAAGACAGACAGTTATGATGAGGACTTATTGACGACACTAAATTTTCATTAGAGAAAGTCACTTTTTGACGAAAAACCTATGTCGTTACTCGTTAGTAATATCCACCTTTTTACTAAGATTTAGAGGATGCAATTCGAACAGTCATTATTTGTGAAATTTTGTGTCAAAACAAGCCATTTTTGAGGATGCAATTCGAACCGTCATTATTTGTGACGACTATCTTGTTTGCATCGGTATTCAGTAATATTTAATATTACTAAACGAAGTTTAATTCATTATCAGAAAAAAATCAAATTTATTGATGATGAATAGCCCGCTTGTAAGGAAAAAAGATATTTGTGATGAAATCGTATTATCGTCGATAATATGTTGCCAGAAAAGATCATATTATTGACAAGATATCAAGTTATCAGAAATATTGAGTGCTATCAACGACAACTAGATTGTCATAACTCATAAGTAGCGAGACAAATTATATTGAAGATATAATAAGCAATACTTTATAAAAGGGTTAATATAGCATTTTGTACCCTTCTACTATTGTCGATTAACAAATGTACCCCTCTATTAATTTTTTGCTCGAACATATATACCCTTATAATATTAAAACGTAACGATTGTACTCTTCCATCCATTTTTCCTGTTATATAGCCGTTTAATGAGCGTTAAAATGACCTAATTGTCCGTCATTAAATCCTACTTTCAATTTAATTAATTTTTATTACTAATTAAAAACAATTTAATTACGAATCCCTACCGACCAAAAAAAAAAAAAATTACTAATCCCTAAACCAATTTCTCCAGCGCCCCCAACTTTCACCAGTCTTCATCCGCCCTCTTCAAATCCCCCCACATACAGACCGGCCGCCGCAACCGGATCCCCTCCGGCATCCACTCTCCAAAACTCGCTACCCATTTCGTCTCAATAGCCAAATATGTACCTTTCAACGCCGGTGCCAACTCCATCGAGTCATACTCCCTCGACGTGATCGTCTACTATTCCCAATCCGGCGGCCGGCTCGATTCCCTCGTCGGGAAGACGACTTGGCCGTACAGATCAGGGGTTTGGTCGAAGAAAGAGTGGGTATGCTATCGAAGAGGCATCCACAATATGTAGGTTTTGATTTATTAATTAAATTGGTTTAGGGAAAAATTAATTATTCAACAAAAAAATAATTAAATCAAAATTAGGATTTAATGAGAGGTAATAAGGTCATTTTACAGCTCATTAAACGGTACTTTAACAGAAAATTGGATGGAAGAGTATAATAGTTACGTTCTAATATTATAAAGGTATATTCGTGCAAAAAAATCAATAAAAGGATACTTTTGTTAATCGACAATAGATAGATACGAAATGCTATTAACTCTTTATAAAACTAAAAAGTGAGCATCCCATACTACTATAATGCCAACATTTCTTATATTTTCATGATCTAATTTAGACCAAATCAGCCTACAGTTACTATTTGATTCGGTTCACAAATCACAACTCTTCCCTGACACACGAGCATAGTTAATTAGTGAAATACAATACGGATAAGTTATGTAGAAAATTAGTACGAGTATTTTACTTTATCTCTAAACTAATGATATATTTATTAGTATGTGAATAATCATAATATATATGAAATGAATTATATTAAAATAAAAATTTAAATAATGTTTTGATATTTTTTATAATATATAACATTTTTATGAGAATGTATTCTCTTCAATTAATTTTTTCGTACTAGTTATTTGTTGTTGTTTGGGGAGTAAATATGGGTCAGGGACTCACCCAAAAGGGAAAGCCCAAAGAAGGTTGTTAGTGAGGCATAGACATGGGCCCAACCAATGGAACTTAGAAAGCCCATGGGGGCAAAGACTTTGGGCTGAAGGGCGCATGGACAAAGGCCCGAACGGCCGGGATGACGTGTGAGACAGGTGGGACCGGGCACCTGGTGAAAGGCGCATGAGACAAAAAACAACCAACGGTCGGAAGTGTACAAAAAGCTGACCGCGTGATGTCATGCGCCTCAAACCTCTGACCTAGGTGTCAGATGGTAGAGGCGCATGCTCAAGGGCTGTAAGATGCATTTATGACGGACCTGACACAGGGCGAGAGCGACGGATACCGGTCGATCTCGCCCCGGGTATAAATAGTGGAGTAGGTATACCTCATTTACTCAGTTTTACTTCTCTTACTAGAACTATTCTTCACTTCTCTCTCTAAAAGAAGGGTTCTTACTTGAGCGTCGGAGTGCTAACGGACCAGATCGGTCCGCTAGGCGCTTGTGTGTGTGCAGGAAGGCGACAAATGGGGGATGTGTTGGAGACAAGAGCGCGGGGCGGAGGAAGAAGGTTTCAGGGCATAAACAGTTGTTGTACTTTTCCCTTATGTAATGTCAATAAACGTATAATTGTTAACATATTTGTTGAATTTATGAATTAAAATTATTATCCATTGATACTCGAAACCCAATGAGTTATGAATGTAATTTGATTTTATGCACAATTCTTGTATGAGTATAATGAATATGGATAAAATCCAAATTACTTTAAATAATGTAATGGATATGATATGACAGATCCATCCTCAACCTAATCCGTTGCCATCCTATTATTTGTTTTCATATAAAAGGCACAAACAAACCATAACAAAGAAAAGTACAAACTTTTATATAGTTTATATCATCATTACCAAAAATAAAGTGCAAATCTTTCTGAAATAGAAAGCACAAACAATTACACGTCGGTTAAAAACGAAAGAAAAACAAACAAGTACACCCAGGCCCAGCACAGGGAAATTTAAATAAAAAACAAATTTATTATCAAGCCACCCGAATTTCCCTAGCCTCAATCCTCACGGGGAGCCCTCCCTTCATCTTCGTAGTCAAATCCGAAATCAGCACAGGCTCCTCCCCGTCCTCCATCGCCGGCACCACCCTAAAGCTCCTCAAAATCCCGGCCACCACCCTCTTCATCTGCAGGAGCGCCATTTCCTTCCCCAAACAAACCCTCGGCCCCGCCTGAAACACCGGATAGCTGAACGGATCCTTCCCAACGAACTTCCACTTCCCATCCTCCCCTCTCTCCAGCCACCGCTCCGGCCTAAACTCCGCCCAATCCTTCCCCCAAATCTCCTCCAGCCTCCCCATCGCGTACGGATGGTACGAAACCCTAGTCCCCTGCCTCACCTCCGTCCCGTCCGGCAAAACGTCGTCGTTCGCTGCCACCTTCGTGTCGATCGGCACCGGCGGGTACAATCTCATCGCCTCGCACAGAGCCGCGTGCGTGTAAACCATGTCCTTCACTTCTTCGTATATCGCCGTATCCGATTTCTCCCTGATTTCTTCTAGAATGTTCGATTCCACCTCCGGGTGCTTCCACAGCAGCCAGAAGAACCAGGTCAGCGCCGCCGAGGTCGTGTCCCGCCCGGCGAGGATGAAGCTGATTACGATGTCGGTCACGAATTCGTCGTCGAAGTTACGGCCCGAGCTCAAGAATCGAGAGAGAATGTCGATCGAATCATCCGATTCGTTCTGTTTCAGCTCTGCCTTCTTCTCTCTCACGATCTTCCTCGCGAAATCCCTAACTTCCGAGACCACTTCCTTCAGCTCCGCCTCAGATCCAATCCCTAGAAATTTTTTAATCTTCCAGATCTGGGGAACCCCGGAATTGAACCGGCCGCTGATAATCCGCACCGCGTTCTCGAACGCGGTGGCGAATCGGGCCTCGGGCAGGGTCGGAGCCAGGTAACCCGGGTCGTACCCGAAGGCGATCTTGCAGATGTTGTCGAAGGCGAACCTCTGAAGAATGTCCTGCAAGTCGAGCGTGGCTGCTGCGTTTGCAGCCGCGGCGGAGAGGGTGGGGATTAGGCGGGCGGAGAGCTCGGTGTCGACGACGGTCTCCACGAACTTGCGGAGCGATTTGGTGTTGAACTCGTGGCTGGAGAGCTGGCGCTGGGACTTCCAGGTGTCGCCGTCGGCGTTGAAGATGCCGTCGCCGAGGAGGTCGAACAGAGTGGTGCGGAAGTCGAAGCCCTTCTGGTAGTTGGGGAAATTGGTCTTGAGGATGTGCTGGACGTTGGCCGGGTTGGCGGTGAAGATGCGGGCGGAGCCCAGGGCGAGGCGGAGGGTGAACGTGGCGGTGGGGGAGCTGAGGACGATGTCGGAGGTCCACTGGACCCGCCGCTCCTTGTTGGCGGCGATGTCGAGGGCGGAACCGATGAGGGGATATGATTTAGGGAGGAGTCCCACAGTGGACGACGACGTGAATTTTTGGTACTTGGGTCGGTTCCTCTTCCGCGAAGATGAAATGAGATAGTAGTAGTAGGGAAGGAGAAGAAGAGCTATGGCTAGAAGCTCGGCCAACATGATTGTGGTCTGTGGAGATTGGGTAAGGTCACGGGCTCTGGGTTGTACACTGGTTTTCGTGGCTTCGCGGATAATGCTGATGCATGTTAGCTTTTGAGGCTGGGGGAGTGTTGATATAATCATATCAAGGTAGTTGGAAGGATTATAAGAGATTGATTATGTCACAGTCACTAACGTAAAGGCTGACGCAAAAGAATTATCTAATAAAGAAAACCATTATGCACAGCATAACAAAACAAAAGCGAAAAGAATGTCATTCTAATGAGTATCTATTGGTTACGTTAATGATAAAACGAGAGAGTACAAAGAAAATCCAGTCATTAGATTTTGTTTTATTGTGTATTATTTTCTTCTCTTCGAGTTTTTGGGTGTGCTTATGATGATTATACAATATAAACTTAAAGTCAAACTTATTTGGAGTTTTGCGAACAACTTTGGTCAATAAAATTGATCTTGTTCCAATCAAAGTTAGATCAGTTTTAATGAATGATGTTTACACCTAGAAATTCGTACTTCTATTATATATGGCGGATGAAAATTGATTGGAACTGACTGAGTGTGTAGGTTGATTGTTGTTTAATGGTGATTTGGTTTCCTCTCTTTTTTAGTCAACAACAACCATTCGTTCGACAACAATTTTAAGTATAATTTAGTTGAAATTTATACGAAATCACCATAAAATTTAGAATGTGTGTCGATTTCACATATTAAAATATGAAAATTATTGTTCAGTCTTTCTTTTCAAATAAGATTTTTTATTATTATTATTATTTTAACTAGTGGCTCTTTGAACTATTAACTTGTTTTTGTTGCAAACAAGTTAACTTGACAGCGGTCAAATCGACAAATTTGTTTTCATGTGGCATGGCTTCACACCTTCTCAATGCATCACCTTATTTTTTAAGGACTAATACTTTAATTTGATATATGTACTTAAAGATAATTTAGACATGAATTTTCAAATAGAACAAAGTATCAACAAATTTTTTATTTTAATATTAGGATAATAAAATGCTCTTGGTTCTTCTTTACATCCAGGAAAACCATATGGTTCAGTCGTAAAATCATGAGAATAAAATACTCTTTATTGTTCTTTCAGTTCAGGAAAACAAAATGGTTTGATTAAGGTTTAGGATTTAGAAAATGGTAATGACTATTTATTAGCCGAATTTTTTTTAGATTTTTTTTTGTATTTGTCAAACTTTTTGAATTACTAATAATTAGTCAAATCTTTTGTAATGCATCAAAATATTAGCCATTTTTACGTTATCCTTAATAATTTTATAAATCTTTTCTTAGTTAAATTACTAAAATTTTGGAACGTTAACTTGCATATGTCTCTTACAAGTCAATATTAATAATAAAATTGTTAAAGATAAATTAACATTTGACTAATTAATAGCATTTCAATAGATTTGACTAATAAAAAAGAATTTGAAATTTTTTTTTGACTAATGAATAGTTATTACCTTTAAAAAATGATAGATATTTCAAATACAAGGTTTGCCAGTTACCACTACAGCTACTACATGTCAACTGTCCAACATCCACTCGTCATTGGTTAGTTAATGTGGCATCACTTCACACCTTCTCAATGCATCACCTTATATTTTTTTATGGGCTAATACTCTAATTTGATATGTACTTAAAAGATAATTTAGACATGAATTTTCAAATAAAACAAAATACCAACGAAAATTGTGGTTTTAATAAATCTCTTATCAATTGTAAATCAAGCGAATGAAAATGCTCTTGGTTCTTCTTTACATTCAAGGAACCCATATGGTTATCAGTCATAAAATAACGAAAATGAAGTGCTCTTGATTCTTCTTTCGACTGAAGAAAACAAAATGGTTAATTTGGGTTTAGGATTTAGAAAATGGTAAATATAATACAATAGTTAAATCTTTTATTTTAAACAACATAATATTCAAAAAATTTGAAAAATAAAATAATAATCAAATTATTAACTTACCATTTAGTTTTCCGTTAGTTGACTTTGGTGTGGCAAAGTCATTGATGAGATGGACGAAATTTGGTGACTTAGCATGGAGTCACATGTTTGACTATACCACATATTAAATTATTTATATTAACAATATATATATTTTTTTATGAATGAGCGGGCTTTTATTCATCAATACAATCTGTACAAAGTGACAAATATTTACATGGAACTGCAACACTTTACATGGAACTACACCACTAAACAAACTAAGTACAAGTCAACAATAATGCCAACTAATTCCTACTTCTTCCATCAGAGACTCCGTTGCTATCACAGTTGCTGAGCATCCAGGGATTCAACAAACTTTGGGTCTTTAGCTGCCTTTGCTTCCATAACCACCTGTAACTAGCGAACCAGATCTGCTACTAACATCTGTTTGCCCCCATACAACCGGCGACATCCCTCACGCCTACTACAAGTTAGTCGATAGAGGGACCTGCCAAGCTACTGGAAAAATAGTCCTCCACACATCGAAAAAAATATATGGTCTCTAGTCTTAGGTAGTTGTTGACACAACGGGCAAGTAGTACTCACCTCCGAATTCCAGCAGTGTACCTTATCTAGATTAGTGATCTTACCAAGTAATATTAACCAAGTAATAACCGAGTTCTTCGGAATACCTCATTTCCAAACAAGGTTGGACCACACCACAGAAACTCCTCGTGGTCTAATACCCTGCCAGACTTTGCTAATCTGGCCATCAGTTCTCCTTTCCACTCCACTCCATGATCTGTTTTACATAGATTCCCATCAAAACTATCACGAAGTTTGAGGATCTTATTCCACACCCAAGAAAATTTCCAGTATCCTTTCCCCTCCTTCCCGATCGACCCACTCCCCCTCCGGAAAATTCCGCCGTTGTCATCCATTAATCCACTTTTTCTGCAGTTTTCTTTCTTTAGTCAACCTATTGAGTTTTCCATTTCAGACACAGTTCCAACCATCGTCACCCCATCTCCTCTTTCTTTTGGTTTCTCTTTTATTCTCGACCTTTTTTCTCTTAACCCCCTGTCCAATCCCCATTTCAGCTTTCTTCCTCTGTCAAAAATTTTTATTTGCAGTTCCTCAATTCATGTGTCCCTTTTTCTCCTATTCTTCTACAAGGTCCTCCATCAGAGTCAGATCTTCATTGCATGTTTATTCCACTGTCTTTGTTGTGGAACATAGTATTTTTTTATCTCACTTTTCCATTCTAGCTTCCTATATCCCATTCTAGCTTTCAAACCTTACACTCTCCTCTCCGCTGATTCGCCAAAACAGCAAGAAGCTACTCTGTTTAGCTTGTATGATACATTGCACAAGAACATTTGTTCTTTTGATTTTTTTCTTTCTGATACATTGTCCAACGAGTCCATAAATTTACATCATTAATATGTGAGAAGGTTATCCAGACCCTTTCAAGATGTGCAATGAATGTTGTTGCCAGACTTAACTATTTTGTAACGAGGGATTGGATGAGGAGAAATGGAGAATCAAGACTAGGATCGTTTCTTATCCTGCTAAAAGGTTGTCGCATTGGACTGATGTCTATACTACATAGACTTGATGGATATGCATTTAGAAATGCTCATGTACGTGAGTGAAACCATTGATTATTTGATGGGATTTCATGAACATATATAACAACAAGGATTTGTAGACTAACCAACTATTCATAATGATCATTTAAGAGTTTCTAAGGTGCGTATTTATCCCTAGCTCCTGTAGTTTGCAGTCATAGCTACAACAACAATTGTCCAACATTGCAGAGTAGCTCATAGTTCGACAAATTGAAGCATTTCTTACCCTTATCAGTCATGACATGTTGTTTTCCTTTCAGTTTCATAGAAGACCTCTTTTCTATTAAAACCTGCCACTTATTCTAGGATTTCATGAATATATATGCCAGCAAGTATTCGATAATTATCTGAATCAGGATTTGATCCAAGTTGAGTTGTAGGTATATATGGAACATGGCTAAAACAATAAACTAATACCCGCTTATCATCTTGCCTCTAGGAAACTTAGCTGGTGTAGTTCAAAATGATCTCTCCTCATGATCGAGGGATGCTTTGAATTGGCAGAAGTGACTGCTTGTGATTCATCTTATGCTGCCTCCTTCAAGTTATTGCCCTCTTCTAATGATTTGGTTCCCTATTTCATTCAGTTTTCTATTCTCAATTTTCAAGTTCAACCAGCTCTTAGTGGTATGTAATGTCACTCCATGTATTTAATGTATTTTCAATATCACCTCATCTATTGGTAATGAGAAATTGGTTACTACCTTAGCTAAAGTGAAACTTCATGCCACTTATAGGTTGATACAGAAGGTGATCTTACATCTCCAAAAAACAACAAATTGATAGTGGAAGGAAGGCAGTTGTAGAAGTTGTCAAGTTGCAGCTAGTGATGACAACAAAACCCGAACCCACGGGTATCCACCCGACCCAACCTGGTCAACGCGGGTAAAATCCATGTTGACGGGTTTTGGGCCGGGTTCGGGTTTAAACCCGTTCGCTATTCACCGGGTTGGGTTTGAGTTTAGGTAAACTCGTCTCATGGGTACCCGCCCACACCCATATAATTATTTTTCTCGGTATATTTAATATTCTAAATAAATAATCTTATTTATGTTTGTGGAGGCATGTCTAATTTTTTCTATCTAATTGTGTAGAATGAAGTTGATGTTATCGAGTGGAGAGTGAATAAACTTAATTGACAGGGAGGAAGAAGCTTTCAATTAATCATGTTATTTATGGATAATTTGTGATTTGCTTCAATTTTCTTGAGTTTTCTAGATTGGTGTTGAACAATTTGTATAGTTTATTTGTGATTTGCTTGAATTTTCTTGAATGATGTTTTATATATGGATAATTTGTATTGAGAGATTGATATTTGATTTTAATTTTGATAGGAACTTGTTATTGTAAATTTTTTACGACAAAAACCCGTGGGTACCCATGAACCGGCGGATACCCAACGGGTTGGGTTGGGTTTGAGTTTTTCAAACCCA